ATTTCTACTTTTTGAAGAAGTGTGCATGATTTGAGATGGGTATTTCTTGCATTCTGTAGCTACGAGACAATTGTCACTGTCACTCCTGCATCGATTCAAACAGTAAACAGAAACTTGTCGACACTGCAGAACTGGACATCAACATCTCCCCCACTTCTTTTCGGGTAACTGAAAATGGTCAACTGGAGTTGGTGTGGAAGGAAAATGGGGATATCCATAAAAGTGTCTATGAACCTGACTGGTAAGTGCGGGAATCTGTTGGTGTAGATTTAAGTTTAGTAATGGAAAGCATTTTTTTAAATTTGTCATAATAAAATAAAAACATTTTGGTTTATAATGTGCTATATGAGACAAAATATTTTAATGACCTTAGTGCTGGTGTTTCCTAACATCTACCATAGATAAAATCATGAATCCTATAAATATTTTCTAACACAATTTATTTTGGTCCAATGTTGGTTTATAGAAACTCTTCCATAAATATTAAGCAGGATAGATACTGTTGGATGTTTATAGAAACTCTTCCATAAATATTAAGCAGGATAGATACTTTGGATGTTTATAGAAACTCTTCCATAAATATTAAGCAGGATAGATACTGTTGGATGTTTATAGAAACTCTTCCATAAATATTAAGCAGGATAGATACTGTTGGATGTTTATAGAAACTCTTCCATAAATATTAAGCAGGATAAATACTGTATATGCTAGAGCTTGTAGAAACGAGCTCCAGAAATTCCCTAGAGCTGAAATGTAATTCAGTATACATTTAAGATAGTTTTAGTTTTTCCCCCTTGCATTATGTGTCGGTAATGTTTCCTAACATTTACACTTTCATGTCAAGAAATTATTTAGGGTCTTCTTTCTCTGGAGACTAATTCTTATGGGAAATTTTGAAAGTAAACATTCGAATAGTGGATAGACTGACACACAAAATTTATTACAATAACTCTGTTCCTGGATTTACAAAAAAAAAGAGGGAGAATATTCCCCCCCCCAAAAAAAATAAAGCTTTGTTTATTGATTACACATATGTGACCTTAAATGTAGAAATTTAAAATTGACTGTAATTTACCAAAAGGTGTGATTCTTTGAAACTGTTTGGTTCAGCTTTAATACTACACAAGTTATATCAGTTGGATTGTGATAGGTTTCTTATTTCTTTTTATCTCAAATAAAGCAAATATACACTTAATTGTACGTTTGGATACTCAAGTGTTTGAAACATAAGTGTGAGTGGTTCGTCGTTTATATGATTATGGTTGCTTTGTTAAGAATCTAAAAAAGCATTATGGTAGAATAGTTTTACGATTGTTTTTTTTTTTTTGTTAATTGTCTGCCTGTATTCAAAACTACAACACTGTATAGAAGATGTGTGTTAATCTTCATCTTTAAAGTTTGTATTTTAAACACTTCCAACAAATGATTAGACTTTTGTTTTTATGGAAGTACTGTTCATTTTTATGTTATTGTAAGTTGTAATTACATCTGAACCCAATGTGGCTTTGTTTTAAAACAACCAAACGTATTAATTGGAGTGAAACTAAACTTGTTTATTTATTAAATTGTCTCCTTTTATTTCAGGCAAATTTGTATGTTTCATTACTGAGATTTTGGCAAGACTCTGAGAAAATTTAATTGTTCTTCACAGACTTAGTTATAAAATGATGTACTCGAGACTCTGAGAAAATTTAATTGTTCTTCACAGACTTAGTTATAAAATGATGTACTCGAGACTCTGAGAATAATTTAATTGTTCTTCACAGACTTAGTAATAAAATGATGTACTCGAGACTCTGAGAATAATTTAATTGTTCTTCACAGACTTAGTAATAAAATGATGTACTCGAGACTCTGAGAATAATTTAATTGTTCTTCACAGACTTAGTAATAAAATGATGTACTCGAGACTCTGAG